AGACAATGATTGATTTGGGTGAAGAGAAGGTCAATATACCAAATGTGAGTAATCAACATGGTGGCACCGAGGAAGAGGAAGACAGAGAGAGGTACATGGAGGTGCAGACAACAAAGACAAACCCTTTTGCACATACAGTACTGTGTTGTCAGTGAAGGCAAACATGGATATATGGGTGGATAGATGGGTGGACAGGCTGAACTAGTAGGTATGTCTATGCAGGGGACAGTGTGCCCAAACCCATGTATAGGGTTGGCAGACAATATTTCTGTAAGTGTATTTCTATGTTCTGTAAGAATTCCTAGGTGTATAGCAGAGCTGACAAGGGATGAGTTTGTAGTTATTTCTTGGCCACAGCCAGCTACCCTGAGGGAGCAAGTAGTTGGACCTGTGGGCTCAGGACCATGGTCCCAGAGGACATCAAGCTCAATTGGCATAACATACTATACAAAACATTGTTCCAAATCCTACTTTGGCAAGTGGCAACTGGGATCTTAAAAGCTTGCAAGCAGCCATCTAGACGCAATGATAGGTCTCTCCTCATCTAAAAGAGCAAAGAAGACTGAAGAAAACCAAACGCACATGGAGATAATTAGTCCAAGCAACTGGTACACCATGCGATCCTCAGCCTATATGACCATGGGACCAGAAGAACTAGATGGTGCCCAGCCACCACTGTCAGCCACTCGGAGGGGGTCTTTGTGGACCTGTTTTCATTGTCCTCTGCCTGCACTTGAACTTGCATATGAGCAATCAATGGTTTTTTTCCACAGGTGGCCCCTGGCCTTGTTTTGACTAGTGACATTGAGCTTCTCCATCTCCTCTTTCCACAGATGTAGTCAATTTGATTCCTGTGTATTCCATTCAGCAAGGTCCACGTGTGTAGCCACTGTTCATGTTGTTGGAAAGAGATATCTGCAACGAGTAAGTCGTTGGTCTTGCAAAATTCTATCATGCGATCTCCGGAGTCATTTCTATCGCCAAGGCCCTATCATCCAACCACCGATGGTGCTTCACTTCCACCTGTCACGTTCTAATCCCCAGGACATAGTGATGCATCTG